AGGCAGCTACACGTTGGACGTGACTATAGCAACATTGAAATAGGGGGGCGGGGGTTTGACCTGGAACTTGTTTCAGGGGCGCAAAAACCCCTCAAATCTGGCTTCAGCGGTTAGGCCCTGCACGGTCTTTCACATTTAAGATACAGGACATTGTTGTAGGGGTACAAAGGAGGATGACGTACAGAATGGATCTTGAAAATGACATCTCTGTAAAGAACACACCTTAAGCAATCACCAGAGCCAAAAATATCTTCTGAACCTTTGCAATTATCGCCGTTCTGGAGCATGATCGGGCGTGGGAAGGATTCTAATTTTGTTTGTTGGAACTTATTTATAGTACGGAATGACTTTGTGAGATGCTCATAGTGTTGCCAACGCTCATGAGTACAGATTTTACAGGAGGAGTTGGTACCTGCCAGAGCCACGTATTTATTGTAAGGGAAAATATTTGACTTATTATCAACTTCCACGTCACGCTTTTTGGAGGAGTTGCCTTTACTTTGTCCGGTAGATCCGGAGGAGCCATGTGAGGGGCTGTCTAGAAGTTGTCGGCGCCTGAATTGTCATAGTCCTGTCGCGGTAACCAAACGGGAGTGCTGGGAATAATCTTCGACATTGGATTGATATCGATTCTGGAAGGGCTTGGAGTGGAATTTTTTGTTGCCTTTGCCTTCTTGATTTAGCCTATCAAAGATTTCACCTCTACCTTTGGAGCCTTGACCTTTGTAACCTTTACCTTTAGACTTATCTTTGCCCTTGGTCCAGGAGGAGCCTTGATTTTCTTTTCCTTTTTCTTTGCCTTTTGAGTGTCTGTTAACCTTACCTTTGTGTCCAAAATCAGAGTATGACATATTGAAATCTTGCATAACTTGTTGGATAAGAGGCTGAATACCAGAGAATCCCTGTACTAGAAAAGCGGGGTTTTCAGTGAGCTGGGCTGAGAGTGCGGAATCCAATTCTATGGGGTAAAGGTCTAGGGAAAGAACTTAACAGCATCTGTGTTGGAGATGTTTGATACATCCTTCGACTGTCCCTAATGGTGCATTAAAGTGGTAGTAGAGTGCCTAGAGGATTGAGTGTATCCCTGAACAAGGAGGAATGACTTCATCTTATCTCCGAAAATTTTGGGGAAGAACTCAACTACAATGTTGAAAATATTTGGATGAAGAAGGAGCTGATACTGCAAATTCTTGCTGGAAAGGTGCACGACCTGAGCCAACAGGAGTTCATTGTCTTGGTCATAAAGCTGGAGGGCATTTAATTCTGGTTTCAGGTACTTCTCATGATATGGGTTCTTGGAGTCATCTGTGTTAGGAGTTTTATTGAGCACATCAATAATTGTCATCAATGGTACCCTATCGAGCCTTTCTTGAAGTGGGATATCCTTTTCGATTCTGAGTTGAACGTCCTCCTGAGAATCGGAGTGCCAATACCTACGCTTTTGTTTAAATCCTTGCACGAAGTACTTACTGGAGCTTTCTTGAAGGAAGATTACCCTAAGAAAAGCGGAGGTTGATGTATGGAGGTGGTTACTCACTGATTGAATGTCGTCATTGGAGAGACCCGACTGCTTGAGGAGATAAGTCATGTTCTGTGAAATGCTGGACATGTTGGAAAACAGGGGGATATTGTAAATGATCAAAGATCTTCTTTGCTGTTCAGACTCTATGGCGTTGAGGGTCTGGGAGCCAAGGAAGTTGTTGAGCTCGGAGTGTTCCAATCTACTAATGACCTCTAGTCTAATGTGCTTATTCAAGATATCCAAGGAGGGCTGTACTGTGGTGTCATGGTAATTTTGGATTGTGTCTTTGATGTTTTCCAGGGTAACTGAGTCAGGGAGAGTAACCGTTGGGGAGGGCTCAGGTACAACTACGTTGGTGCTGGGTTCAAATGAGCCTAAGGAGGTGTCTAATTCAGCCATTTTTTTGGGGGAACGGAGTGCCTTGTATGCCTGTAACATAAATGGAGTACTTTGCAACATACGGGCGAAAGAAAGGTCCATGTCTCCCCATTCAATGGGTTCTGTATCATCCTCTTCCATTTGTGAGGATAAACCAGTGGGAATGGAGGACGAAGCTACTCTGTTCATGTTTTGTTTGGGGAAGGTTTGATACAACATTTCGGAGATTCTTTCTTGGGTGCCTGCTGTGGTAACATAAATCTTTCCATCTGAAAATTTTTCTACTTTTGAATCAGGTCCTAGGAGGATTGTGTCAACTAAGGTAGGGGTGTCAGCCTTGGATATCTGAGATGTTTCTGCTTTTGCAGCCAGGAGCCCTGGTGGCTCTTCATTGGAGGCCGCAGAGTCAGTGGGCGCTGTAGGAGCTGCAGGAGGTGTTTCGGATTTGGTGGCTTCCGTTGCCATGGCAGCTCGAAGGAGGCTAACTTACAAACGGAAAATGAGAGAAAGTAACAAAAAGACAGTGAAACCCCTATAGGCCGAATGCATTGGAGAAGGCCAAGTAACCTGACTGTGGCTCAGAATGCGAAGCAAAAGGGATCGGCTACCGCTCTGAGCCTTAAGTTGGCCCTAAAACACGTAATAGTGTACCTCAAGGCAAAAGCGGGCCTAACATTATTCGTGATGCGTGTCAGTTTGGACGTCAACAGTACTGTTGGCAGGACTTGGGAATCAAGCGTTTCAACCGACATGGGTGGTTGCATTTCGTTTTTTAAGATATTGGGTGTTGCAACCCAACATTTTTTTTGATTGTGCAAAAAGATCTCCAATCCTGTTTGGTAGGAGCGTGTTTGCCATGCCATGCTTCCGGATACCAGTCAGCCGTATACACAGCGTCGTCAGCATGCAATGTATGTGAAACATTGTTTCTGAATCCTGTTTGCATCAAGAGCCAAGTTGATTTGATGCTCTAAACTAATTTGCGGGATAAAATTCATGTGACGCGATGTCAACATCCCATACTTAGTAAAGCTTAGCTAAGTTCCCAGGAAAGTGCAGTTTCCGTTCACAATTTTTGATCTACTTATCCCACCGGATCGGAACGGTGAATTGAATGGTTCCAGCAAAAAGGAGAAGCACCCACTACTTCCAAGGAGAGTGATGCGTACGGCTTTGGCCCGTCCATTTACCATTAGAAATTCGTCACTTTTCACACCCGTTGTTCATTTTAGCTGTACAGGAGAGAGAGAGAGAGAAAGAGAAGGCCGCACTTCTAGCGTTCGCATGTTGGTCATGTTAATGCATCATGTCGGGTTGAACGTCAACAGTACATGTTCGCACGAGCTGTGAGTCAAACATGTCAGCCAACACGAATGGTTTCAACCTGATTTGAATGAATGGGTGTTGCAGCCCAACGCATTTGTTGATTGGTTTTGTTGTTTGCAAGATTAGAAAAGCAAAAGGGTCAATAGAGAATTCGCTTGAAACAAAGGGTTGACTTTGGCCATGTGAGTTAGTTGCACAGAGCTCCACTGAAATGATCAGTTGGTGTCATGTTGGCCGAAACATGCAACAAGCCAAGCAAAAGAGCAATCAACGGCGAAGGCTGGACAGCACAGTTTCAATTCAATCAGCTTGCATGACCGAAGCGCAGATGCTACCCAGCATGATGGCCGTTGTGGCTGGTCGAACTGATCCCTGACTGTTGTGAGTTTTTGTTGCATATGTAGTTACTTGTCGACATGTCTTTGAGGATTTACTAGATTCCCAGGCGACCCCAGATGTTCCGTCGTCAACGCCTGTGGCCCAATTTTAAGGAACCCTTTGTGTGGTGAGCCTGCATTTTAGATGCGAGAGGTTGACAGCGAGGACTACCTTTAAAAGTTCTGCCAAAACGAGCACATTTTCAGTCGAAATCCCAGACATTCCAAATACGATGCAATGTACATTGCAGATGATCCAGTGATTTCATGCCTTGATCTGAGGCATTTGGCAGACTGGATCAGAAGTGTATGTCTAGCATGTGATGTTCAAGGTGCATAAATGCGAAACCGGGCGTACAATGGGCTCGCCAAAAGCTGGCACCGGGTTTTACTTTGCAGGCTTGAGCTTTAGGGTAGATGTCAGGGAATTTTTCCATGACATAGCACTGTCGTGACCCTTGCCAAGGGAGACGCCGGCAAAAACACCTCAACGCGGACCACAGCTTTCAGCGCCAATCTCTCAGCGGATGTTCCATGATCGAGTGTGTGTCGGATTCAGCCGAGGTTCGAGCAGCCCTTTTGGCTTGTTCTTCCGTTTCTTTCGGCTTACAGTTTCGATGCGGGCGCTCTGAACGTTCTCGTGCCAGGCGCTTTCGTTTTGATTGCACACGTGCACGGGCCTGTTTTCAAGCAAGATGCTCAGCAGCAGCTGATGGAGATACTGTTGGCATTTGTTTTGCACTTTGTCTCTCGAGCCAACTTGCATCTTCCATTGGTATTGAATGCGGTTCAGTAGTGAGGATAGTTCCAATCCTTGGGACGCGGCTTTGCACCTTTCCGACGTGGGATGCGGAGTGGTTACTTGAGATACTTTTACATGTCATGCTCCACGTTTCCTGGGTGACAGGCGTGCGTGCAGGACCAGAGTCCGTGCCATTCAGGCGGAGGCACGGTTCTCTGGGGGGCAGTGCAAGTTACGCAAATTGATCGAGGAGTGATGCAAGTGTGAACTTCCGACTTGAAATTCAGGTTCAAGCAGATTTCATTTCATGCTGCTCAATGGCTCCACGGTGGGAAGATGCTGTTGAAGAGGCCTTGTGCCAGATCCGACGGGTTAGTTGTGCAGCTGTCTTGCACAAAAGTGAATAGGTGGCAGCAGAAGTTTGTGGCTCAGAGCTGGGACGTGAGTGCTGGATGATGGACTTTATTTCTTTCTTCAAAGACCTAAGGCTGGTGCTGGTTTCGAAGCTGCTTTTGTGTTTGTCAGCGAGCTGTATGCAATGTCCTCGGGTTGATGTTTTCAGCAAAGTTAGGTCGGATCTGTAGCACTGAGCTGTCCATGAGGTCGATCAAGCTCAGGGCATGGCCCCTGTGCCGGACTTCCCAGATCCACTGCGCAAGCGAAGCGCCCTTCCTTGGTGTGCTACTCCGCAGATGGCCAGAAAACATGATCTTCACTGTTGTTTCCAAAGCAACTTGCAGGGCAAGCCGCGCTTGCACAGTTGGTGTTTAACTGCTGACCTCCATGAAACTCAATCTCGCTGTGAGTAAGGCTAGAAGCTATCCAAGAACGGCGCGGACCTCAAAATGATTTGCAAAGCCATTGTCACAGATTCGAGCAGTTTTAGACTGTTGCTCTGGTGTCAACAGGTTGGACGTCGAACACGTGGTTGACGACTCACAAAATGTGCTTTGGACTCCAGACCATGTATTTGGCAACGTGCCAACTTTCACCTAGGTTGGAGGTGCATGTCCTGGCGCTATCGGACAGACAACAGGCGCTGTGAAGAAGGCACCCTGAGTTTCTGTTTTCCATTCTTGTAGGCAAGATGGCTTCCGTGAGAATCTCAGAGGTGATGCGCAGGCCATTTGACAAGGTCTACATTTTTTCGAGTCTCAGGAGTACGTCGGGGCTGCACGGCAACCCTGTGAGGCTTGGCTCAGCCGGGCCAGTTGAAAGGTCAAAGGCGAGTCAAAGGATAATTGTTTGTGCCTGCGGCTGCAGGTGGAGGCTGGCTTCGTGCTGTCTGTTGCTGTCGTGCGAAGTGCTGGTGCCATTGTCTCGATTCATCTGGCTTCCGCGCACTGCTTGTCAATCTGCATAGACCATCGCTTCTCCAGACTAGAGGCCGTACCTTTCTTCCTCGGGGCAAACGCGTGCTCACTCAGGATCTTGCTTGATACTCTTTCACTGCTTGCGCTTGGCCTCTTCAAACCAGGCTGAGGGGGACTTGGCCCTCATCAACCGGATGGCTGGTGTCTCAACTTCGTTCTCCTGTGCTAGCTTTTCAGCACTTGTATGTGGCCTACTGTTGCGGGCTCTTGCATTTCAAGCAGCAGACAGCTCGCATGTGGTGGGTCTCCCCCACGCCAATACCAGGACAGCACTTTCACAACAACAAGCACTTATTTTCTTTGGGTTCTGTGATGTCAGCTACGCACCAACGACAAGAGGAGCGTCATTCAGCTGTTGGAAACTCGCCCCAACTGTTTGGCATCAGAAGTCAGACGTCTCCTGCTAAGATTGCCTCGAATTTCTTTCTTGACTGGTATCTTGGACGCGGATGTGAGCTGCAGCCAATCAAAAAAGGCGTTGTCCGCGAGCGCAGGTGTTCCTTTTGGATAGGCATTTCGTGAAGCTAGCGCTTCAATTCGAAATCTAACCTGAAGCATTCATCAAGTCCCCAAATCACTCGCGCAGATGATGAACCTGAAAACCCCGCTCCGGAGCCATAACCGGTGCCTGCTTTTGCTGGGATGTACGGGCCGCATTTACTGGCCAATTGCGAGCGTCTCATGCAACGATCTCATTTGACAGGGCGTGGTGACGAAGGAAATGAATTCTTCAACATCGTGACGGCAAACATCAAATATGTATCCATAAAGGACAGCCGAAACAATGACTCCTGCATGTAAAGAGTGGAGCCTCTCTGCCCGAAGCCCCGGTCATGAATGTAAGATTGTTTAATCTTGACTGCCAGAGTCTCTGCCAAGCTTCGTCGAGAAGATGGTTTAGTGCGCAAGCTTTGATGCCTAAATCACCTAACACCGTCACATCAAGCAACTTTCATGGCCCTCCAGGTCTTTGCGCCATCAAGCGCTCTGTCGAGCCATAATCAAAGTGACCAATCGCAGTTAGTTTCAAATGTGTTTTGTGATTGCTCGGCATTATGTTCGATGGTTGATGCTGGACAGCAAGCTTCTGATCGTGAAGCATCGCTCTTCAAGCGTCTTTGCTGCTCTTTGTGGCGCCCCCTTCCGCACAAAAAACAGCCCGCTTGTAATTTGAATGTGTCAGACGCTGGACCACTTCCTCATGTGGAAGAACGATGGGCTACTTGTAGCAGACGACGTTTCGCCTTTTCACACAGTGCAGAAATGCGAACCCTAAGCCCTAAGCTCGCAGATTGGACTAGATAACTAATTGATTTTTCAACGCTCTGACATGAACGAGGCGAGTGGAAGTGGTTTGAGAAGCAGGGTCTGTCTTGCAGAGCTTGTCAATTCTTTGCCGAGGCAGAAGGCGGAGAGGTACGCTCTATGATCTTACTCGCAGATCCGTTTGGACCAGTTGAGGACATTATGCTTGGGGCTTAGTTTGCTGGAGATGGACACGGTGGTGTGGTCACACATGACGACTTCGAGGCAAAGCTTGGACGAAAGCTTTCCAAAGGCGCGCAAACTCAGAGTCCCTGCAAGAAATTATTGTGAGTGCTGAGGTTCCCAAAGCTGGTGGAATCACTACTGTTCTCCGGGCGTAAGCCTCTTCTGTCTCCATTTGGACTTGAGCAACCTGTTCGAGCACCCAGCTGAGGTGGGAACACAGGAGCGATCATCTTTCATGCCGTCCATGGCGATTTGCTCAAAAGGCAGTTGGTGAAGTTGACCTGTTTCGTAGCACCGAGCTGCTGGGCTTTACCGGGCAGGCAACAAAGCTCGCCTTTTGAGTCAGGGGGTTTGTGGGCCTGGCTCTCGGCAGGGCTTCCGAATATCTCCGAAGCTTCCGAACTTCTTTTGGAACAGTCGTAGAGTGGTAGACAGAACACTGCTTTTTCTGCGTCAAAGGCTTCTGCTCACCCAGATGGATGCTGCTAGCCCAATGTCAACTCATGTCGGAAGGTCCGGATTTGCACATGTGCTTGAAGGTTCACACGGTGGTGTGTCAGGGTTGCCTGGGAGTTGGCCCGGCTGCCGGAAGCCAAGTGTTCCAGCCTTTTATGAGTCCGCTTCAATTTATTCAGTGTCCAAGAGACATGCTAGTCGACAGAGTCTGGGTACAAGGAAATAATTTCCCAACAAGCATAACATCATAGATGTGCGAGGCGAGTCCTCATGGCAGGTCTTCATCATGTTGCATATTGGTGGTGTGTGCATTCTGTGTGTGTGTGTGCTTGAACCATCCAGGAGTATGGATGCAGGGGGGCACTCCAATTGCCATTTTCCATGCAAAAGCAAACAAATGTGGGTTGATGTTTTCCCTTGAAGCAAAGCCATTCCGGCAGCATATCACGCTAGTTCAGCTTCTTGCACGTGGTAGAGGATCTCCTACACAGCGAGTATTTTTTTATGTCTGATGCAGGGCACACGGCATCCACAACCTACCGTGTGCAACGAAGCTGCGGTTGTGGATGGGATATCCAGCTTGTCTTTGCTGGTCAATCCCTGGGATTGGCTTTGGCAAATGTGCGTAGCCTCGAAGCAGCCGATGAACAGATGGAACCATGAGTGATTTTAGACACAGTCGCACGTATGTGAAGCTCAGCATGTTCTCACGGACTCCTCGAGCATCTTCATTAGCTTTCTGTCTTGGGTCACAGCATGTGTTGCATTCTGCTTGTGTTGGCCGGTTGCGGTGCAAGCTTGAGATCTCTCAAGATGTAGACCATTTGCTGCTGTGAGGGTGGCAGATTCGTCCTCCAAGGTTCGTATAACCAATGTTTCGGGCCCTGTCTGTGTTGGTATTGGAGGAAGGCGTGGGGACTGTCGCGCTAGATTTTTCCCTGCTTTGGCAAGCTATTCGAAACTTTCGAGGCCCGCAAAAGAAGCGTTGATGCTGATCTTTGGTGCTGTTGACGAGGCGGTTTGTCACAAAGGGCAGCTGTGAAGCATGACTTGCATCCCTCTGGCAGTGCAGCAGGACCTGAGAGCCAAGATGCAAACAAATTTGGTCGTTGGCTTGGGCCGTGGGAGCCTCACATGCGCGATGGGTTTGATATTTGGCCGTTCGAGCGGTGTCAAACTCGCCAGCTGGGGCAACACTTGGTGTGGAGGTCAGGGTGAGAGTGAGACATCAGCCCACATCCCAGTCATCTCTGCGGTTGTTCCTTCACTTCTGCCGATCATGCACGAAGCTGGACGGAGGTTGATGATGGAGATTGGCTTATCCGTGGTATAGCTGAGGTGTAGCAATGTGCACGGTGCAGCATAACTGTATCTGTGATTTTGCCAGGTGACCCCGAACGGGAGCTTTGTTCTCGGGCCTGGAATTGCAGAGGCTTTCCTCTGCAGCTTCAGTTTTCCCATGTTTTCCCGATCATTTTGCTGTGATTGTAGCCCTACATTACTGGCAGTGGTCTTCTGTCTGTCATCCGTGCGTTGTGATTTTAAATATTGGCACAGAGCATGCTGAAGCAACGACAATTGCAGAACATTTTTGGACACGTTTGGAAGTGGCGGTCCAATCATTTTTGTTGTGTTGTATATAGAGACCGAGCTGTGGATTTGTGGAAGATTTTCAGTTGAAGTGGACGGAGTCGTGTGCTAGGAGCCAACGAAACAGCAACGTCAGTACAACACACCAGCTTTGATGACCTGGGCTGCGGTGTACCTTGAACTTCAAACGGCATCAATGAACCTGTATTTTTTTTGCACATTCTAGGGGAACTCAATGGATGAAGATGAGGGGTGGGAACTGCTTCAGCCTTAAGTACGCTCAAATGTGTACTAAGCCAGCCGACGCCTGGTTCAGAAACACTTGTGATTTGTTGAAGCTTGTTGCATGTCATCGCCGAGCTTCGGATTAGACAGGCGATGAAGCCAACCAACCGCTCAATGCCCTGCCCTGGAAGATCTGTCACATCTGGAAGCATGGTTTGGCAAAGTGCTGTGGGAAGCTGATGTTGCTGCCCTGACTTATGAAGCAGGGTGAACAGGGGTCAGGCATCCTAGTAATTCTAATTTTCATGTTTGTGGTGATCAGGGCCAACCCTTGCGCTTCCACGTACGAGACAAAGAGTCTGCAGAGGGTGACCTGACATTGATGCTGAAGAGATATCGGCCGGCAGCTTAGATTGTTGGACCCTTGCTTCATGAAACCTTGCACATGTTGACAGGTTGGAGCGGACGTTCAGCGGCGGCAAGGACCTGGCTGCAGATGAAAGAAATGTGCGTTTGTGCGCACAGCTGCAATGGTCGCAGGAGCCTATCGGTTCCTTGCTCTTCACCTGCAACGGACGGGGCCAGGCTGAACCTGAGTCTACTTCATCCTTTCCAGCTTGCCTTGCCTTGCTCACAGGGCTTGTATGGACGCCAGCATGTAGATGCACGAGCGCTTCAAGAAGCTCTGGGAGAAGAGCTTGGACAGCTAGGAGCCGAGTCTTGCGGGGATAGATCTTATGAAGCGACTGAGCATGTGGTGTGTGACAAGGCGCGTGGGTGGTTTCTTCTGTAATGGGGAGATAGGCGCGTCATCCTCCCAGCTATGCCAGTTAAGCGAACCGCATGACCAGAAGCCATGACATACTCCGGACAGTGGCGAAACGCATGTCGCAGTAAGGCCAGGCCTGGTGCTCCAAGCTGCAGATCTGAATGAGCGCACGGAGGCATAAAGGGATAATTTTGATAATTTTTGGATCTTCCTTTTTTGCTGTATCAGCTGTCGCAGCTGCCGTTCAAGGTCAGGAAGACAGCTTTGCATGGCTTCACAGCAGTATTTGCGCTTCTCGGCGGCAAGGAGGTCGTTGTCAGCAAACATCCATGTAGACACACTGCCAATGCAGGATGCTAGTGCCGGCCCAGTCTTGAGATGGCTCTGCATTGGCTCGCTCCGAAAAAGTGCGATAAAGTGTGCAACAGGCCCAGATCACCAAGCGTGTGAGCATCTGGTGTGTGATAGACGGGTAGGATGCATTGCGCTGGGAAAAGCTTCTCGGATTCGCGGATCTTGCATTGCAATTCTCAGAATGTCTGGGGAGCAGCCAGTCGTGAACAGAAATACATGAGGCTGAGTTTTTCAGCTCTTGGTTTTCGAGCTTAGCTTGAAAGGCACTTGCTAGATGCCTGGATGGGGTTGCTCTGTTATCGGGTTTGGTTTCAGCGTCGCTGGGGCGTGACGTTGTCAGTGGCACGTACAGCTCAAGAACGACATCTTTAGTAGGTTCCTAGCGATTGACCGATCTGCTAGAGACGCTCTCTAGCACCTCCTCGTGAAATGTCTGCAGCTCAAGACATGGTGCAGGGCTTAGGAACCCTGACAGGCCGTCATATCTTGCTCAAGGTAGGGTGAGCAGGAGGTCTTATTTCATTATTATCATGTCGACAACCAGCTGCTCGAATTTGGCTACGCTTTCTTCTTTGACCACCTTAATTGCAGACATTTGTAGACTGTAGATGTTGTCCTCATCCTTCGCTGTCTGGCTGGAGGCCTGATCTGCTTCGAACAGTTTGTCCAGAACTTGCTTGTTGTGAGGCTGCTCCTGCTTTCCACAGCCCAAAATGGGCAGTGCCGCATCAGCCGTCAAGCGGCTGACACACTCCTTCAGGGGCAAGGAGCGTAGCTATGTCAGAAGGCATGGAAACCTACAGACGGCTCGCTTCCAGGGCAGCGCAGCAACACCGGCCAGACCGGCAACACCGGCAGCAAGTGCAGGGGCCCGAGCTTCAACTTCTTCATCTGGAACCGAATGCCGTCGCTAGGCTCAACCAGCTCCTGGCCTTCAAATTCCTGAACAGGCACGAAATGGTGTCGTGATGTCCGCAAGCCTTGTGGCTTTCAACCGTGCATGGTCAAGTTGTTGCTTGAGCAGCGGCAGAGTCCCTGGTGTGCTGCTGATTGCTTACTTTCCGCTGAGATTTGAAGAGCCTTTTCCAGGGATGAGATGCTCAAAGAGGAGAAAGGAAGCCTTCAAAAGGACAGCCCAGACAAAAGTGGAACCAAAAACATATTATCACAACATCCGAAGAATGGGGAGAAGCTTCCTTTCACAGTCACAGGAAGGCCAACCTGCTGCTGGTTGGATCCTGAGTCAACAAACTCCATCAGGTGCAGTTGGAAGTGCAACATCCAAAGGAAGACCAACTTGAAGCCAGCATCATCCTCATTGCGTTTTGATGCTTGTTTCAGCTCTGTGGAGCCTATCACCCAGCAGTATTCCCAGGGAGTCTGATTCACTCGCCACCTCGCTCACCTCACGAAGATGACCATGGATGCCTGGAACTTCTCGTTTGGTTGCTCAGTCATGCGCCCTTCTCAGTTCTTGCGGCAAGGCAAAACAGAGTTGCTTCGTCAACATCCGGAGGTAGATGATGAGCCAAGGACCTCTTTGATTTTGAGAAAGACCAGTATCTACAGCTTTGCGCAACTTTGCCAGGATGCAGCCCCTGCAGCAAGCTGCCGCAACTGCACTTGAAGCACATTTAGAGCTGGATTCCCAAAACGCCGTTGATGGAAACATGCTGTTATGAAGCATTCTGGCACCAGGAATTGTGATGAAAGTTGTCACGGCAGAAGGCAGCCTTCGAAAGAGATGCAGGCATGTGAGAGTGCAAAAGACTCGTGTATGTAACCCCGCAGTGCCTTGTATGTGTCGGTCCAGGTTGCCAGGCCAGATGCTCGTCCAGCGAATCCAGAGCCACCGCATCCTTGGGTAGCCTGGCTTTGAGAGGAGTTGTAACGCAGCATTGCATCCTACAGCATCCTGCAGTATTTGTCGCATAGTGGATTCCGGGTCCCCAATTCAGAATAATTCAGACTTCCTGCAACCAAGAAATCTTGAACTTGCCGCCATGCTGTGTTGCTGCTGCCGCCTGCGGTCATGCGAGAACTCCGGTTCCGGTTGTTGTGGCTCTGATAACCATGGTTTGGTCTTGGCTGTAGTGACCCGTTCTCTGGCGTTGTCACTGGTGCTTTTTTGCGATGGCTGGTGGTGGTGTCAATGAGGTGTTTGTTTGGAGCTTCCTAGACTGTTTGAGAAGCCGCATTGTGATCGTGTGGGCTTCGTTTAAGGAACCAACAGTTGTGGCAGGGCATATGTCGTTGTGTCTTGACGACTTTTCGCTCCAGCTGCGAGATGTGAAGGCACGGTAACCTGTAAAAAAGAAGACAAGATGTTGCGTTTGCAATGATGAGGCCTTCGAACCGCTGCATGTAGATAAGGATGTGGCCCCAACTGACCATGGAGTTAAGGTCCCAGTTGAAAACATACGCCATCATACGCCATCATACGCCCTTGTGCCAAAGCTTCGGTTTTCTGTGGAGCCACTCTGGAAATCAAGCCCATGTGGAGGGATGGTTTCTCATTTCCACGTGCCACCATGGTCCGTTTGCGACGTGACAACTCAGCGTCTCATTTCGCACATCGTCAAAAAGGGCGGCGCGTAGCGTGGACTCAGGTGGACTGCGTGGACTGTGTGTTGTTTTGCTTGTGTTCAAGTAGCTTCAGTTTCGCACATCACTGGTCACATCGATTGTGTGCTTGAATTCCTCAACGACACAGCTGATGGCCTCAGTCGTGGTCGCTCCCCAAAAAACTGGGGTTTCAAGCAGCTCTTTTTCCCTGCAGACAGCGTAAACGCTGATTCCTTTCTCCTGTTTGGGGCATGTTCGAGAGAACTGTTCGACAGTCGGGGTCATGCTGGCGGGCTGTCCGACCAAAGTCTTGGACAGAGCTTTGCTTCATCGCATTCGTTGCAATGCCATTTCGTCAGAGAATGAGGCATCCTCCGCAACATGAAAATAAGATCTGTCGACAGCCGACAGCTGACACCAGTTGAACTGACGCGACAAGTCTGGCATATTTTTGAGATGGGTGGTTGTAGCGAATATGTGTGTTTGTTGATCAATTGTTTGGTTGTTTCAGTGATTGGTTTCTGCGGTTGTGGTCATTATTCCTAGATACACATGTTACAATTACTACTATCCAAGTCTCAGCTTTGTGCGATTTTGTCCTTAATCATCGCTCGGATATTGTTTAACCTGCTTAACATGGGCCACACTTGAGAGGGCTTTGCCTCAAGTCTGCAAAACAAAAATACTCTTGCAGGCGTTTCGCATGCTCCTCATTGAGGGTTGAGTCCTGGCTACTTGCTTGCATGGTGCAAGCTGAGGGCGGTGCGTGGGGTAATGTATGCCTGTCCGTACAATGATATCAATGATTAGCATGATGCTCAACCGATATGTTGGAAGCCTGTGACCCTTGATGTGTGATTGGCACCCCTGGGATGTCCTGGTGTGGGCATAGATTCGCTGCTGCTGATGCTGCTGCCCCCTCTGCATGGAATTTGGCACCTGGTGCACGAGCTTTTGTTGCGTAGAGAGTTGACCAAATTTGAGGAAGGGTGGCGGGCAAGGGGCGGACGCAGGGCTCATCTCCCTGCAGTAATTTCCGAAATTCATATTAAGGTCCCGCAGCCAGGTTCAGAGCGTGTTCGCGATGAACTTTAGGGATTCCTGTCCTTCGGCATGCCGAGTGCGTTGTATCTTGGACTCGGAGCCCACATGCTGCGCCGCACATTTGAACAGGGTTTAGAAGCCTTCCTGTAGTTGCCAGAGCCTGCGCAAATTCTCCTTTGTTCTTGCAACGCCTGATGTGCTGGCCTTTGGGGCTTCATGGCGCCTGGGTTCTGTTTCTGCTTTGCGAAAATAGCGATGCCCTGGGGTGAAGTGGCGTTTAATGTCAATATCCATGCAGCACCGCACTGCGGCTTACATTCTGAATATCACCCGCCAGGGACATGTTCTTGGACAATATTCCTGTGCATGTTTGGAGCGATGACATGTCCACGGATCAAATTGTTTCCATGGTAGCGGACTTCAATTTGCGCCGTTGTGAACTTGGTTTTGATCACAGTACTGTTTTCGCGGGCGATGTGCAGGATTGTTGAAGCCACTGTAGAAATGTGGGATGCCTTGGCGACCTATTTGAGGGAGCGAGGAGTATCTCATGTTAGTGTACCTGCAAAGCCATGGAAAATGCATGGTGGGCTTTTGTGATGAACTGCACTGAAGACCAGTGGCTTTTACCAGTATCCGATGCGCTTTGTTAGAATTTGGCGCCAAAATGTGCCAACAAACTTCGAGCTCCGTGGAGCCCCACAAGTGACAAGGCAGCATGCTGAGCTCAGCTGCATGTGTCCTTACGGCAATGGTTTCGCAAGAACCCCCCCGGCAAGACAAGCGCACGACATGCCATCCGAATTCAAAGCGCAAGTTGGTGCGTTTGTGTACACACAAGATCCTTGTTCTTGATGTGTCATATCGGTGATGATCTTCGTGTTTTCCATGCCTGGCGGTCAAAGTGGCTTTCGTGCAGATTCAGTAGAGAACTGGGTGTGGGAGCATTCCATGTGAGGTTCTCGGAGGGATCCATGCGTCTTGAAGATGCGGATAAAAGTTTTTTTTCGCAGGCTTGCGCACCACATGGTCAGCTGGCAGTCTCGCTTTGCAACCTTGCGTGCCCTGATTCATGGGCTGCGCATTGTTCTGCTGAGCCTGACAGTTTCCCTGTAGTTCCTTTCAATTATCACGGGGCTGTCTTGCCGCGCACGGTATTTTTCAAGCACTTGTCCAGATTTGGATCGAGATATTTACGCAGCCACGTCAAAATTCGCAGCTTCATACGCGTGTTTGCCATCATCAGCGGAAACAGTGGCTTTTGAATGCACATATTGCTGTCGGGTGCATGAGCGGCTAACAATGGCCACAGTTTTGAGGGCTTTGCCCCGATTCACAAAAAACATACTTCTGTTTCGCATGCTCGTCAGTGAGGGTTGGGTCCTGGCTCCATTGATCTGTACAAGCTGAGGTTGGGAGGGGAAACGCATGCTTGTCCCATGCAAGGACTTGCATGATGCTCAACCAATGCGTAGCAGAAACCCTTCATGATGCCGCAGTATGCCGCAGTAAGTCCGTCTAAAATGTTCCACTCCAGCAGCGACACCCTACAAACAGGCCAAAAAGTTAGAAATAGAGACTGCTTTTGACGGAATTTGAACGCAATGATGGCAGGTCTGCGCAGACGATCAGCAACAGCTGGTTCTCATGCATCACTCGCTTTTTCGCTTCAATGTTGCTGTAGTTGCTGCCGCTGCTGTTTTGTTGGTGTTGCCTTGTGGTTTGTCTTGGGATTTGCATGTTTGTGTTGGGGTAGACAAGGTACGGTTGGTGTTGGTGTTGTTGGTTTTGCTTTGCTTCAAATTGGCACACTCAGGTAGGCTGTCAATCAGACCCGCAGTTTTTGCTTTCACTGTATATATCGGGCTGCGTTTTCGCATGGTTTCGACCGCTGGGGATATTGTGCTTTTGAAGGTACGGGTCCCCTACGAGGACGCTCGGAAAGCGCTCTAGAAAGTCCTCGTCTTCGGCGAATGAAGCTGGCAGGATGATTTCTACTTCTGGAACACCGCCACTGATGAGGTCACGTGGGAATTCCCAGCCAATGCCTAAGTTGGCCGGTCATGGATCCTTTTGTAGAAAAGCTTTGAGGATGTGAACCACCACTAGGAGCGTCCAACATCTTACGCACCTTTCATGGCTTCATGGTGCCGTTAATGTACCCATCCTGCAAATGTCAAGCATGTTTTTTTCACAAATATTGAAATGGAAGACAATATTGAGAAGACATTTGATCACGTTGCTAGTGTGACACAGGTTCCCTGAAAGCTCGGCAAACAATGTGGGTAACCCGCGAGCAACTGCTGTTGTGTACCGTCATACTGTAGGCGCTGGCCTTGATACATGGCACGCGCATAAATCCTTGTTTCCCTACCTGGAAGACAGACTCTGCAATGGATGCATGTTTTCAGCACCTGAATACATGCCGGATGCCATTCTGGATGGTGGTCTTGATCCATAGTTTGGGACGTCGGAATTTGCAGCACTTTCTGAGGCAAGAGCATGATGGAGTAGAACAAGATGTGCCTTGTTGTGTCAGCTGCGGCGCCTTACCAAGGCCGCGGACAGCACGGGTTCTTCCACGGAGCTGCGCGGACTAGGTGAAACACAGGCTGTGGGCAGCGTGAAGCAGGGCCAATCGCCCGTGCATGCAGCCTGTGCGCAGATTGAGAGCACGTCTGATTATTTGCAGTAATGTTGATGGAGGCTCCATCTGTGGCTGTTGATGGCTTGGAGTCCGACGAGGCAAGTGAAACAGCAAGACCTGCATCAACCTGTAATCTGACCAGCAGAATTCCAGGATGATGACAGCCTCATGGGCGTATTGAATGCCTGTCGCGAGGCGAAGGCGTTGTGTAAGAAGCAAGCAGTGCTTGATCCTGTGGCTAGGGCTGGGGAAGGCAGCACAAAGCTTGCATGGCATTGCTCATGCTATGGGAGGGCTTCCTGCTGCAGGCTTGGCATTTGCATGGACCGGACTCACAGCATGCAGAAGAAGACCAACATACGCCTGCTGCACCCACTGTGCCTGACCACGGCTTCCGCTTGCAGCAAGCAAGCTCCACGAACACGACAACACCGTCCCAGGGAGAACCTTTGTCTCTTGGCCCTTTGGAAGAGAAAACTGAAATGGGCCTGCAGGCTCAAATGCTGGAGTGCAGGGGTGAGTCTCCAGCGCTTGGCACCCATCAGGAGTCTTTGGCGAACAGCGCCGAGCCAGAGCAGAACGAGGAAGCTGCGCGGTCCTGGAGAGGCACGCAGGGTTCGCATGTCACCCCTGACGTGCACATGGTGTCAATGGGCGAGCTGGAGACAGAAAGACGCGACAGACTTGATCGAGGGAAGGAGCTACGAACAAGTACAAGCCAAGCAGATGAGGAGGAAGTACCGATGACAGAGCAAATAAGCAGAATGAATGAACCTGATCCATTGGTATATCTTCCTCCTGGATTGGTTGAGGGCCAGGAGCCTGTCATGTCAATGGCTTCGCGCCTGGTCGAAACTTCGCCGATCTCAGCGCTAGTACTACCAGCAGGCTGTAAGCTCGTTTGTCGCTCAATTTGTAGTTCCACGATCTGTCCCAGCAAGGATGCAGCTTGCCTGTTCAATTTGCAAGTAGAGCAAGCAGATTCTATGAGCTGGTGGTGACCTTGGACTGAGCAAGCCGTCCGAGCAGTTGTGCAGTTCGGGACGCGTGCACAGGTCAAGCTTCGCAAATGTGGAGGCAGCAGTCATGAAGGCCCGCGTTAGTTGTCCAAGCAGCGACCAGATCATCACCCTTGAAAAATCCTCTAGAAGCATCTTAGGAGCGGATGGTTATCCAGGAGCGCACAACTTTTTCGACACTTACCGGGTTCTGCGCCAGCAAGGCCAGTCTGCCTTGCTTGCTCCAAGTTTCGAAATGTTTCAAGTGTGTTCCCGTTTGTGAATGAGGAAAGAGGCCGGGGACAGCTGATGATGCCTTGCGTGTGGGCGCATCGCCGATGGGCAAGGCATGTGACGTATGTCAAAGTCAATTGCCAACAGCACATCATGTAGGCATTGCCAGCAGACCTTGGGCATGTGGAAGCCGGCAGCATGGCAAGGGAACTGGTGCTACAAGGCACACTTGTACAGTTCTGTTTCGAGCGCCCGCATTCCGAATTGGTGTAGGCTCTTGGTGCTGTCTGGAAACTTTTCATCGCGAGGTCTGATGCAGCGCGCGTCTGAAGATCTGCTTCCTGTGAGCCAGGCAAAGGCTGCAAATTCCTGAACAAGTCTGGCTTTGATGCTTCGTTCAGTGACATGTCAGGATTCCTCTTTAAGGGTGACAGAGTCAAAGTGACGGGCCCTTAGAACTGCAGACGCCGCACACAGTGTTTGCCTTGTTGGGTGCATTTCTGGTTTCAGTTTTCCTGGTTTTTCATTTCAAGCCTGACACAAAACAAGCCCTTTAAATGGAGCCAGCCGATCCAAAATCAGAATCTCAAAGCCTGGAAAGATGAATAAGACATAGTCTTGCAACCTCCGGCTTCGGGCCAAAACTTTGGACGTCGATGCCTCGAGTCTGCAGGGAGGGTGGATTATTTGTAGTAAGTATAGAAATGCAAAGGAACTAGCAGTAATTGTCAGCGCTAGCGAGGATGCCAAGATGTCGCCAAGCAAGCAAGTTGGCTAGGCTTGCGGGGGGGTGGTGGGCGCGGTGGCGGCAGGGAAGAAAGTAAAAATAGCTTGGCCAGCCTCTCGCCAGAATCTTGGGGTCATTAGAGCGTAGAATAAATGAAGGACCCCTCGCAGGGTGTGAAGGGGGCGGGAGAGCGACTTAAGTTTGGAGCTGGAGCGGGGAAGAGGATGGAGACGGGGAGAAGCTCGATCCTTGTCAGCTTGTTCCAGACGCTCGTTTGCCAGAGGCCCAGGCGAATTCGTCTTTGTTTTAGTTGGTAAGAGCGAGTTGCTGCAACTACGAATTCCAGACTTCCTCTGACCTTGATGGGACTTGCACCACAGGTACGGACCAAACAGCATTTTGTGTGAGGTAAGCACCTGAACTGCGGTTCAGCCACCTTTTCGGCATTTGCATTGGGAAACCAACTGGCAAAAAGGAAGCCTGTAAAGAAAACAGCTGGGCAACACGATTTGCTGGGAGGGGGAGAGGGGACTGGGGTAAAAGGGCTGGGCAGTCTCAGCAGAAATTAAACTGCAATAAAACAAGAAAAACGCATGATGAATTCATAAACAGATGCAGAATCTGGCCATCCAGGCTCATTTCCACGCAGTGTGCCTGCTTCGCCTGAGGCAAAGGCAATTGCGGCAATTGCAAAGCTAAGCAGCCCTGGCCTTTTTCATGGAAGTTCAATCAGGAAGCCATGGCGAAGCCAAAGTGGGCAACCAAAGCAATGCCAAAGGGGATGCCAAAACGTGCGCCCAACCGCTGACACCTGAGAAGCGTGCGGACAGACTCCCCTTGTTACCCGTGTTTTTCGTTTTTTTCGAAGGCCAGCGAGTTGTCACTCCAGCTCGTGCAGAAGCAGACGCAGCACTTGTGGCCGAGCGCAGCTGAGATTTTCATGTGGCTAAGCACCATTTGTCAGCGAGATGTCCCACAAGGTTTATACGGGACGTGCATGCGGCAGCAACCGCTTGGTCCTTAGAGCAACGAGGCAAAACTTCAAACATCGCTGCTTGGCAAGGCCCTTTGCACCGGCGTCCCGAATGGCAGTGAGGCGGCCACTCCAGTTTCACCTGTGTTTCGATTTGGCAGAGGATTTAGCTTGGATGGTGAGACATTGCAAATGGCATCCAGTCACGCGCAAAAAAGGCAGGTTGCTGCCTGGTCCTTGCAGAAAGTTGTGTGGTGTCTCTTATGTTTTTTCTGCAGTCATGCCATTCATTGCCAGACAAAAGCGACGTGCAGGTCCACCTGCTTTCTTTTGAGGCTCCTGGTGTCCAGCCTTCAAAGCATGTCACGGCGACCTGACCCGTCAAGCAATTTGGAAGCCTGCTCAACCTAGTCCCTCAATTTTGCTTGCTTCATTGGCTGAGGATAAGCGAGTTGTAGTTCTTGTGGAGAATCTTCCTTCAATTTTTTGAAGACAGTCAATACCGAGTCAACACCTTTTTATACCAGGCTTTGAGACTGTCCCCCCCCTTAAGCCGTTCTTCGTGGCTGCATGAGCATTAATGCGGATCCCTATGGCCTACCAGAGGGTGGGACTACGACGCCAGTGCCTCTTTCTGCTGAGAGCTTCAACATGCTGATTGCCAAGAGTTAAGGACTGGACAGCTGGTCCTGACTGTTGCCCAAAGTGGTTCTGATAATGGTCTCAAATGCTTTGAGACCCTGGTCAAGGCAATGGATATTTTGCTGCTTGAAAACATGGCTCTCTGAAATTACTTGGCGAAGAGGTGGTCTGCAACGCAGTTGACAAGCCAACTGAGCCGAAAGCTCAGTTCCTGTCCTTTTTGAGCTGCGAGTGACTTGCATGTGTCGTGAGTTCCAGTTGCCAGCAGTGTTTGATTTGGGGTATTGGCTTGCAACGGAGCTCGCATGCCGTGCAGATGGGATAGGCTTCTAGAAAGCCTGGATGAGAAGTCTGGTAACCATGTCTTGCTTTGCCATGAGGCTTCGGCGTGGCGCCGATGGAGCTGATCAGGTTCAGACTCACAGGATGGTGCGGGATTCATTGTCGCCTGAAAAGGTGGATGCCGTGCCTGCCTGTGCAATGCTTCTGCGGAGACTTGGCTTCAAGGCCTTTGCCCACGGTTGGCTTGAAGCACTAGTCAAAGCTTGCCTTGGCAGGACATTGGCGACCGGTACAGCCTGCAGATGACTGGACTGCGGTCTGGTGAGGTTGGTTCACTTGGAGATGTTCCTTTCAGCCGTTGCATTTTCTTGTCTTTGTTGTCACGGCAGGTTGCTCGTCTCCAGGTCGCTTTGAATGACTTGCCTCACTGCAGGCAGCTTTGCTTTTCTTTTGGGCTTGGCGGCTCTCAAACAAACTTTTCCTCTTGCAGTGATCTTGTGATCCGCTTGGCGCCGGTGATCGAAGCCCTGGGTTCGTGACAAAGTTTTGTGAGGCTGTGTTGTGCCATCCTGGAAGATTTGTGCAGCAAGGACTTCACTGGAAAAAGCCCGATGGGACTTCAACCTTCATGCCAGGTCCAACGTATCGCTGCAGCCTCAAAGCCTCAACAACTCTTAAGCACACAGCAACACAAGCATGAACCAAATAAGATGAACTGGCTTATTTGTCATGAGGCGAGCGGCATGACTTGCTGTGGCCTGAATTTCTTCTCACAACGGTATCTGAATGGCCTTTTCATTTCCCAATTCTTCAGAGGCCACACGGTGAAGGGTCCAGAGGCGCAACAAATGTGTGTGTGTGTGTGTGTCTGTGATGAACGTGCTCTGAGTCTACGTTGCTCGGCACACAGGCTACTGGAATGGGAGTGCTGAGAGGCCACAGATCTAGCAAGTGCCATCCACGAGCGTTGCTTCAACGAAGAGCACCTAAGGCCTGGGAACAATCCACCAGACCTTCCAGCACCTGCGGAAGATGAGGAGGATGCTGATTTGCCTTTGCCCCGCAATCCAACAATCCTGTCTGCTGCGCAATGCTGTGCACACTCCCCAGAATTCCACACCTTTGTTGGCCAGCAGTACCAAGGCAGGAAGCCCTGCGGCTATCCATGATCGAAAGCTAGCACTGCCCGTTTGTGTGCTGCTCCACAAGTTTTGATGTGTACAGTTCCGGGCAGTGAGCGAAGCTTCGATGGCCTGTTCTGAGAAAGCTTGGCCGCAGATGACATCTGCTGTGCGGGAAGGCTTCTGACGATTTTCTCACGCTAGCCTCGTTTCACCACAGACTAGGGCGTGACCTTATGCTAGCGCGTTTCAGCCACACATGGTCATGTGAGAAGTGGGCAAATGCATGTCTCGTGTGATAAGCTCAGATCCCTGCCAGTGTTAGTCAGATAGTTGGTTGAGTGGAGAAGGTGTGAAACAAGCAGGATACAACAGGGCGGCAGTGATGTCAAGAATGTTGATTTGGCTTGCATGCATTGCTTGGCTGTTAGCCGGACTAGTGGGATCCTGCGCCTGAGTTTCTTGCGAGGCAGAGCAGCAGTATTTGAATCCCAGACGCTTCTTGAGGGCATTCTTGTGCTACTGTTGAGGTGGATGTCAAGCCGGTAGCAGGCATTTCTCAAGAGGACCGTGATTTGCTTTCCTTTTCGGGGTTGGCGAGGGAATGCGACAGGATGCAAGCAAGCGGCTATGGTCGAGTCAGCGAGGCTACGCCCGGTGCCCTGGGAACCGCTTTGTGGACTCCTGTGTCTTTGTGAGTGAGACTTTCTACATGTACCGCGTGAAAGGATGGCGTCACACCTTTATTGGGCTCTTACCGCAGGAAACATTCATTCATTCATCGATGCGGCATTGATACGTTTGCGTCTTGTTGATCGAACGGATGTTTTCAGCAAAGCTCGTTTTCATAATTTTTTGCCAACGAAGCTGTGAATACACCCTTTTGCAGTTTGGGACGCCAATTTGTGTACTTGTTTTTTTTTCCACGTGAACCATTCGCATTAAGGATCCTTGCTTTGGATGGGTTTGATCAATCCTCATTAGTGCGCTTTCAGGATATTCAGATTCGGGCGGGATAGCTCGGTTGGCGGAGTACAATGCAATCTACTCATCAACTAAGCTGAGAAATTTGGAGACGAAGCAACCTCAGAGTTTCGAACCCACAACAATCCATCTATCACAGTCAAAGCTCAGGCTCTAGCAATAATTGGCAATCATGGAAGCTTCAATGCAAAGGCCCGTTGTTCGATTTTTTACCGCTTCTAATTCATGCATGCCTTTGAAAGATTGCTGTTTTCCTCAGGGCAAAAAAGCTTCATGGCCATGCCAGAACACGGCGGCATGCAGACAACATGTTATTTGGGCAGCCTGACCTGTGTGTTCATGTACTTGCACATAAGTGTGTGCCAACCGTGGCAAACGGGGGGCATCGCTCGGATAGAGGGAATGTTCAGGGGACGTGCGCACCGTGACTGGGAATGCTATTCAGCCACTGCCTTTGAAGAAATGGGTGTTGTCGTTGATCGCTTTGCTTGATGGTTGTTCCGTGTTCCTGTTGTCACGTTTCGGGGAAGGTGCCATAGTTCGCGACGGACATGCAGTGTTTATGTACTACCATGCAAACGCCCAAGCTGCTGTAGTTCTTTCGGTTCATGGACTCCAGGGCCATTGTAGGTGCGTCGAGTCTCTCTGCCACGTCTCTCCTGTTGCACCTCCTGAACTACGTCGGCTCTCCGTCTTCTTGGACTCCACCTCCGAGTGTCTTTGACTGTCCTGTCTGTCCGGAGGCAGCCCCGTGGGATTGGGCAGCGTGGCAGCACCTGCAGGCGCACATTCCCTCACTGTTGCTTGGCCTAGCCTTGGGGGTGGCCTGTCTCCCCTGTGTGGATTTGCTGCTCTTCATCAGAGCTTATCTGCTGCATCGCCTCCTGCCCGAGCACAACCCTAGGGGTGCCCTTAGGTCCTGTGTAGGGGTTCCCCTTTGCATGTCACTCGAGCTTCGAGTTTCTCATCTTGAGGATCTTGCGTGCCGAGGTGCGCGAGCTGCGCGGCCTGCTCCAGGTCCAAGCAGAGGAGTCTGAGGGCTCCTTTACCATCCTGTCCGAGCCCCCGCCGCTTCCTGCCTCCCTAACCCGTGCTTCTGCTGGCGCAGCCGGCGCATACCCTAACCCTGCCACACCCCGTGCCAGCCCGGTCCTCACCTGTGGCCTCGCCCCCTGGTGGCACCTCTGGCACGACTGTGCCCGCGGCCGAGAGAGCCGCTGCTTGTAGGGAAGTCGGTTTGTTCCTCCGCAGGTGCCTTTCAGGAGATCATCGCGGGCCGTCGGGGCGTGACAGAATCAAGCTCCCCTCGCGCTATTGGTTGGTGCTCAGGGATTTTCAAGGCCGAGACCAGCAGCCAGTTGTTGTGTGCACCCGTTTGGCTGCCTACCCGCCAGGACATTAATTGCTGTGTGTGGGGCCGGGGGTATTACCCTCCCCGTGTCCTGGTGAGATGGCGGAAACAGAGGAGCAAGTGGACGGAGAGCCGCTTGCCCCAGGCCACCGCCCCGAAGCTCGGCCCAAAGCAACTGCCGCTCGCAAGCCCACCGCTCTGGACGAGTCAGAGGAGGATCAAGGCGCTACTGGATCGCTAGGTGCTCCTTGCCGCATCCCTCCGCCGATACTTTTGCCGAAGCGATCGTGAAGTTTTTCGACAGCTACCATCAGCGCCAGGCTGCTTCAGCAGATTGCACCTCGGCCTTGGACAAAGCTCTGGACGGGTCTGGGTCTCACGAGGGTGGCTTGATCTGCACTCGTCGCAACGCAGCGGCCCGGCTATCCTCGCCTGCCGACCTGTCAGCCGAGAACCTGATGGCCGAAGATCTGTCAGCCTCGAATCCGGGGATAGGTGCTCCCACTTGACTTCAGCAAGAGGATGGTTGGAGCATCGCTCACGCGTAGGCGCGTTTCCTTCGCTGCTCCACCTGACGTGGTCATCGGGGGCGCTTTGGACGCGCTCAGGGCGGGGCTGCCAGAGCAGGCGCGTGCGCGCCTCAACATAGCGCTCCGACCAGGCTTGCGTCGACAAGGGATCATGGATCCGCTCCACAGCAGTTATCGCTAGAACTACCTCCTCCCATGACTTCGTTCAGGCGTCGCGAGCAGCCAGGCTCAAGCAGCGACCCTGTGTATTCGAGGATTTTAGGTGCCAGGTGGGCCGAAGTGGCCCTAGCGAGGCTCAAGGAGGAGTCCGACTTTCTCGAGAAGAAGTCGGTTGCAGAATCGGTCGGCCCCCAGCAAACGCAACGAGCGGCCCGAGGGCGAGGAGCCGACGCAAGAGGAGCCCAAGCCCAAGCCGCGGCCCAGGCCGCCCAGGAAACCAAAGAACAGTGCATGAACAGAAGCGAGGGCGCTCAGCAGGCCCGTGTTCCCGGAGCTGCCGCCCAGCCTGCATCTGCCCTCCTTCCTTAATTCATTACCCGGCTGTGTATGCGCCAGGGGGGCCCTTTTTGCCTCATTTCTCCGCACGTCTCTCAGCACCACGGCCCGCGGAAATGGGCCCACGCCTTACACTTGGCGTGTGGGTCAAAAACTGGAGGACCAGACTCTGCCGCTTCCTTGTGCCAAGCTTTCGCTGGCTCCCAGGAAAGCCCCCGATTGCGGCCAAGCCCATCATTGCCGAGCGTGTGAAGCTGCCTGCAAAGCCTGCCTTCCACCCTCAAAGATTTATGGATCAGCGCACTGCGTTGTACTATAATAAGCCGCTACAGTTTGCGTGCCAGCCTGATCCAGGCTTTGATCCTTTTGTGAAAATCCTGGCCGCTCCAGCCGAAAAGATCCGTCTGCTTCGGAACCTCGCTGCCTCTGGGCGCCTCGACCCGCTGAAATGCATTGCCCCTGCTCGTGAGGATTGGGGCGCAGGCTTCTTCTGTGTAGCAAAGGATGCGGAGCGTGACCGCCTGATGCTAGACAGGCCTGCAAATTCCCTTGAAGCATTTCCAGTTCGCTGGTTCATGTGTTAGCCTCTGCCTCGGCGCTTGCTGGTGTGATTCTCGAGCCGGACCAGCTTCTCCTGATGTCTGGGACATTCGTTGCAACTCCTGAGAGGACTGAGCGGAACTTGCTGCAGTGTCGTCTGATGCCGGGGGAAGCCCTCTCTGTGCTTGGCTTCGACTGCTCTGCCTACCTGCAGCCTGGGTACTGTGCTGTGTGGACTTTCGTCGCTTGCCATGGGCGACTCCTCTGCCTGTAATTACTCGCAATGCAGCCATCTCGGTGTGCTCCTGCATGGCCGAGCGGTTTTCCCTGGTGAACTGCGTGTGCAAGCCGCCTCTGCTGGTCTGGTCATTGATGACCTTGTACTTCTACACCGGTGCCTGGACTCGGCTCTCCCTTCCCGCGACGGGCCTCCTTCGCTTGGGGCCAGTCGCCTACAGGCCGCTCTGGATGCCTACCGTGCAGCGCCTTTGGATTTCAATCCGAAAAAGACTTTCTTGGATCAGCTGCAAGCTGTTTTCTGGGGTGTTGACTGTTGTGGGTCCTCTGGGCTTGTGCGCGCCGCTCCTGCCAGACACTGGCCGCTTGTTTTCATCACGCTGCGGGTGGTCCAGCTTGGACTCTCCACTCGCGCCCTGCTTGAAAGCCTCCTCGGCTCCTGGGTTGCAGTTTTCTTGCTCCGACGCAGGCTGCTCTCCCTCGCCTCTCTGTGTTTCAAAGCCGTACAGCGTGGGTCTCCGCAGACCATTCTTCGCCTTTCTCCGCTGCCGAGCTTCTGTCCTTCGTGTCCCTCGGACATCTTGCCGTTCTGGCTAGGGTCGAGACGCTCATCGATGCTCGCGCTTTTGAGTCGCTTGGCACTGCCCCTGTGTGTGCCTCCTTTTCGTGAGCAGTCCGACCAGCAGTGAGGACGAGGAGCCGCCCCGCCGGTTTGGCTCATCTGTCGCCCGCTACGCATAGGAAGGTTCGCCTTGGCAACTCCCAGAATCGCTGGGTGAGGTCCTTAGTCGATAAAGCTGTTGCTTTGCGCATGGCTTACTGGGTTGAAAATCCTGATGGGTCTCTCTTCTGGCTCATGCCCGGCTGGGGCGATGAAAAGGCTCCCACGAGCTCACGAGTGCTCAGAGCTGACATGTGCACC